ATTTGCATTGGCACTATTTAAAAATAATCATTATACAGTTAGATATAAGATTTTTAATTGAAAAGCTTCATGTTTTACAAGTACCACGCTAAAAACGTATTCCATGCAACCCTAACACAAACCCTAACAATTTATTAAATGACCATGAACTAAAATTATGCTACCATTCTTCCATAACTTAAACAATGTGAATAAATCATTGGGGAATTTATTAATGATTTACCGGTAGTTTTTAATTTATAAACAAGTTTATCAAAAGAGTACATTTATTTTATAAATAAATAGTTGAAAATACCGGGAATTGTGATTTATTTCTTTTTTCTTTTGCTTGTGTTTACATGTACCTTGCCTATTAATGTTTATTAAATGGTATCAACACCAGCGGTTTTAATCGCCTATGGGCAGAAAATCAGTGCATGTTATTTGGGTATACGTATCAGCGTTTCACATCATTGAACATGCTGGTCAACAATGACCCTAATTTCAATCTACCGCTATGTAATGCAAAAATAAAATTGATGAATGAAATATGTATGAATTTCTTTACGGATTAATTAATTTTGAACATAATCTGAGGATTCCTATCTGGGGATTTACAGATGTGCATTCTAACATTTACAAATAAAATACTTAAAACTAAGTATTATAGAGATAGAGAAATTAACAATAATTAAATTGACATGTCAGTAAAAATAATCATGACTGAAAATTAATACTTGGTAAAATTAACAAAGAATTTTCTAAAAGCCCCAAAAATTCCTTTTGAGTATCCCGATAGTATGGAAAATGATGAGATTTATTCAAAGCTAATTCTTATAATTACTGATGGAAAATAATGAATTCATGTTTAATTTCTGTATAAAAAATAAATTAATTTCATTTAATCAATATTTTATTTTGTAAGTAAGATTACACAATTGGATTGGACATCAGGCATGGCCTATATAAGTCCTCTCCAAGGTCAAGGTTACAAATGTTAAGAATTGACAATGATTTACAATGATGAAAAAATTTCCTTATAAATTACATTAATTTCTTTTGTTATCTAAAACATAAAAAAAAATAAAGGAAACAGTATAAATCACAGAAAATAAAGAGTTTGAATTATCAATACACCCGATAATTGTGATTAAATATTCATGTTCAGTTTAATTCATACATTTACGTTTGAAAACATTCTTCCTTTAATAAATATTAATTCAATTTGTTTCTATGTGCGTACTGTTCATAAATGACCTTCGCATACATGTATATACATGTAAGGATTCCTGGCATACTACCCAGAATCAATTTCTGCTGCCTTTTATTGTTCCATTGTTTATTGCAAATCTCAATTCTGAGTAAGCTCCGCCCATTAGATTAATAAACCCCGCCCACTGGGACTGCTTTCTGGGACTGTTGGGACTGCTCTCTGGGACCACTGGGACTGCTGGGACCGCTCTGGGACTGCTGTGGGACTGCCCTGGGACTGCTCTGGGACTGCTCTGGAACTGCTCTGTGGAGTTTTTTTTCTGGATTTTTTTCAATACATAGGAAATTCTTTAATTCAATTATGATCGGAATTTTAGATTTTGAAAAATAAAGATGTACAATTAACTAAATGATTTAAAAAATACATAATCAAAACTTCAAGCACTTAAAGTGTTGATCGTAATAGTCTCGATTTCCTTGATTTGTAGCGGACACGGATATTGCAAAAAAAAAAGATGAAAAAGTAAAACTTAATGTAATGAATAAAAAAAATACAAATATTTAGGCAAAGGTTCAAGCACTTAACGTGTTGATCTTAAGAGCCTCATTTCCCGTAATTTGCAGTGTACAAGAATACTGATAAAAATGTTCTTAACTAATTTCAGATGTTGATAATGAATTTAAACGACGATTTTTGGGATTCTCAGTTTATATTTCAAATACACGATATAAAGAGAATGGGACCTTGTGCTTTCACGACAACGAGTATAATATGTCAACGATTCCAGCTGTTGTCAATATTTCTTGTACAGTACATGGAAGATATGTCATATATTATAATGAAAGAAATCCATCAAAAGATTATCCACAGAATTATTCGGAAACGGCTTATAGTGAGTTATGTGAAGTTGAAGTTTACGGTAAGAACTGACAAAATTCATTTGTAATTATTATATACTAAAAATAGTTGTCTACATAAATAAAACAACTTTAATGACAGAAGCTTTTAACAAAAGATTGTTTCTATTAGACCCAAGATAGAAAGCGAACCATGGGTATAAGGCATATAATTTGCTGGAGGAGAATCTTTTTCAAATAAAAATTACATTCGTTTAGTTAATTTCGTTAGATATGATGATTTTAAAAGGATGTGTAAAATTTATTCCCGTAAAATTTTATATACTCGACGTTTGGTACCAAAAGTATGAATTTCACAAAGAACGTGACAGGTGCATCTTTTTACAGGATGTCCTTTTGAAGGTTATTATGGTTCAAATTGTGAATTTCCTTGCATAGACAATTGCCGACAGTGTGATATAGAAACAGGTGAATGCCTCCAATGCATGGCGGGATACGAAGGAGTGAACTGCAAAATGCGTAAGACTTTATAATCTAAAAAAAAATAACTGTTTTGTCTGATATATATATAGAATATTTACGGTTATGATATGTAATCTTGTCGCAAATTTGGAAACCATTCATTACTAAGATTATTTTTTTATTTAATGAAATTATATTATCATGATGCTGACCATTTCATGATATTTCCTTGACTCAGGACAAAATATCGTTTTCCTTATTTAGAAAGCGTCAGAAAATCGTGTATATCCCACTCGAAGGAAAATATATAACATGTTAATCAAAAACAATAACATAAACGTATTCCTAGCCTTGATGATATATCTTTTGTTCAAATTATTAGACGAGAAACCTTCCAAATATCAAAGGGAAGGAGGAATGTTTAAGGGTTGTCGGATTAAAGGCCTAGAAAAGTTGGCACGAGTAAAATTTATCCACTCTTCGCTCTAAAATTTTTACTGCACGTTGTATATTCAGCATTATTAGAAAAGGTTGAAATTTCATACGTGTACGGGTAAGTCTAGTGGGGGAAATACTGAAATTCCTGTAGTATTACATCATCAATTTTAGTGATAACGAGTAATACTGAATCTACACGTAAAAGAAAATTCGTAGCATGCTAAATGATAAAAAAAATATATCCATTTCATGTATGAAAATTTTGTTGGTAAACATTATTTAAAATGTTTAGTTTCATAAGCACGTATTTAAATCATATTTTGTTAACTACGTAAAATCAAACTGACGTTACAAACGCGGTGTACACGTACATGCTACAAGTATTAAAATCTCAGCAGACAAATTACAAAAAACGTGTATTCAAAGTATGTGCACAGTTAATGATCTCAATCTCTCTAATATTGGGCAAACTCCTAACTACTATGCATGCATGCTCAAATAAACATTTTCTTTTAATTTTTTGAAATTATTTGTAGAACAAAACATGATGTATGGTGTATTATACAACATCTTGTAAACGAACATCGTCTCAAGCCACGGTTCGGAGTCCGCATATAGCTCTCTGAGTCTCCTACCCGTGGCTGCTTGATCACAAGAAGTGTCGTAATCTTGAATATTTACGCCTCTCTATTGTGACGTCATATTCAGTCAGTGGCAAGTTTTGTTTCCATCGTAATTTGAAATCAACAACTGACGTAAACAGTATACAAGAAATATTTCCTTTACTGCGATTGGATATTGAAAGGTCGCGATAAAGTTCGTCTTCCGACTATGCTTTACTCGCTTTGGTCAACACTTTTATGAGCTACGAACAATTCTCTCCTCGTTCAACCACGGCCAGAATGGGAGAGGATCGTACATTTTGGCCGTGGTTTGGGACGATGGTAAACGAAAAAATAAAAGGATTCGTAACAATTTCGATTAGTCCCTAGAAGGGTTTCTTAATGCCAGAACTGATGAAAAAAAGTCTTCGGTATTGTTTTGCATTTCCTTTCCATTTAACTGTTAAAGAATTTTTCAACGCACTGACTGCAATCGTGTTAAGGAATATCTGATTTAGACAAATTCAATCCCAGAGCATTTAAATTTGTGGGAACAACGTAAAACGATATGTTAAGCTGAATTTCTTTTTTACCGAGACAGACAAGCAAAAAACAAATGTAAACAGTCATCTCTTTTATTACATTTTGCAAGCAGCAAAAAACACCCCCCTTTCCCTTCAAATACAACAAATAATGCTTAACAAAAATGGACTGACAAACGTTTTGACCCAACAAATGCCTTCGACTTTTTTTTTCCTGGAGGTAGAAGACTTGTTATCGGGGATGATTTCGTATCAGCTGATTATAATGACACTCCTGGTTGCTTGCAATGACAGTTATTCTAGTTTTACTTAATGTTGAACTTCCGTACATTTTCTACCTGTAGTTATATTTTGTAATAAAGTGTATATCTTGAAATTTTTAGGGAATTTAGCATATAAACATCCGGCTTGGCAAAAAACAAGTTATTCGCCTATCTTCGGAGCAGAGAAAGCAGTGGATGGATTGAAATCTGACTTCACTCCACATGGACAACAATGTAGTATATCTGCCCCAAGCCAAACGATAGCTTTGTGGCGAGTCAATCTTCTTGCAAACAAGTTCGTTCACCACATCCTTATATACTACAGAACAGATGGCATTCCTTGGGGTATTTTTTCAATGCTTGATCAAGATCACTTTCTAAATATCTTTCACATGTATTCTTTCTTTGCCAAAAAAATATTATTTTTCACATTTTAATCTAGCATTACTGTTAAGCATCGTTTTCAACGTATTTGCGATTGTATTTAAATGCATATTCCCTTTCAATGTAAGTTTTTTTCTTCTAATATTTGAAAAAAATAGCAAGGTAGAAGTCAATTAAAACAAGCACTGTTTTATAACTGAGTTTGTTTCAATACCCATATGGAAATGACAGATTAAAATCTGATTTATTGTAGATGAAAATAATATTTACGCTGGAAGATTTCTTGGATTCTCCGTCTATATATCAGAAACAGAGAGTAAAGATAATGGCAGTTTATGTTTCCATGACACCGAGTACAACATGACAACAATACCAGCTGTCGTTAACATCACGTGCCAGTTATACGGCCAGTATGTTATTTATTATAACGCAAGGAAACCCGACGAAGAATACCCACCTGGTTATTCTCAGTATGCCTACAGTGAGCTCTGCGAAGTTGAAGTTTATGGTAAAATTCATCATTCATTTAGTTAACATACTAAAAGAATGAAACAGGAAAAAATTAAAAGATTGAAAGTACTTTACAAAGATTTTTGTAAAATACATGGAATAATAAATGCATATTCATATTATAAAATTAAATGCTTCAGCATAACTTTTGTAGAATATACGTGTTTAACAGAGATTTGCAAAATTCTTGACTATCTTAAATTATTTGTTTTTGTTCCTATTGAATGCACTTTGTACTGACTTTTGAAACTTCATAGGATGCGCATTAGGATATTATGGATCTAACTGTTCACTCAGATGTCCCATGCATTGCCAAAATTGCGATACAGAAACGGGTGCCTGTTCGTGGTGCGATACTGGATATAGAGGAGAAAATTGTGATTTTCGTAAGTCTTTATATTTATTAATTTAAAAAGAAATTGTTGAAATTTTAAATTTTGAAGACACCAAAGAATAAATTTACATATTAGAAGAAGCACAAAGTAAAATTTTAATCTGAAAAAATTTGGTTTCTTATATGTTTTTTTCAGTATTCCTATCTTAAAAATCATCTTCGTTAAAAAAGTAACAAAAATTTCACTTGATTTTGCTGCATTATATAATATATGTTTGCAAATGTTGAAAAACAATGCGTATACCTCGCGTGCATCAACTGGTAGCTGAACAACACGATGTGTTATCTGTCACATTTAATTTGCCAGTGATTTTGCCTTTTTAACATTTTCCCAACGTTATGTCTTGCATTTCCACGTTGAGTAGTTCTGAACATTGATTTTTTGTGCACAGTGACCAAGCGAGTTTTCATACTTTTCGGTCAAACGATCCAGATATCATAGTAAATTATGTTACATTGTGTCGTTTTTTTTTCTTTCAGTATACTTGAATAAAAACGATTCACTTTTCTATATTGATACCCCTACTTGAAAAGCGGTAGGGTATATAGTAATCGGGATGTCCATCTTTCCGTCTAGATGTACGTCTGTTCTTCCGTCCTTCTGTTACGCTTTGAGGTACCCATCTCTTATCCGCAACTTGTCTCATACCACTGAACGGACTTTGATGAAACTTTCACAGAATCTTTATTACGTATTGCCATTATGATCTCCTATTTTACTTTTTGATTCAACACATAATTTGTGTTTCCCATTGCAAAACATGGACACTGCCATTATATTCATTTGAATTTTAAAATCGCTTCCTATGTGGAAATGAAGTTCTTTGTATTTCCTGTTGTAATTACTTTAAAAGCTCAAGTTCATTTCATTTAATGCGAGTAAAATAAAATTATGTATGCTTCCGATCTGTACTGATTTATATGATCTAGGGAGGTTTAAGAAAGTACGATCCTCAGGTTTATGAAATTAACAGTTAAGCAATCAAAAATACTCATAAAAGTATCTCTGAATCCACAAAGTTATGTAAATTTATCCACAGTGTTTCTTTAAAGTTAAAAATTAAAGTTAATCATATTACATAGGCAGAGTTCTCAAATCTAAAATATTTTTTGCAGAAAAAGCGAATTGGAATATCAGCAATGCATTTTCTAATTGCAAATTGATCAACAAATATATTTTAGGATATAAAACGATAGGTATCCAGGCATTCAGAGAAATAGTCATGATTTTCATACTTATTTTGTGTTTTTTGTCTTCTATTTCCGTCATGTATTCTGTACTACACAGTGTAAAAGGCTTTTGCTATCATTGCAAGACACCACAAATCACTTCTTATTTCATATCATGCTTATAAGCATTGGTATCTAAGGCTGGATTCAAGAAAATCTTATTTTTCTATAACTGTACTGATTTTTTTTCTTTTATAGGGTACAAATGTCAAGTTTTAAAAGACCTTTCCTAAGACTTCCAAAAAATATTGAATCTTATAAAGATTAATAAAATGATAATTTTTGCATTAAAAGAATTATTTTCAAGCGTCATTTTGATGCATGTCAAATTAAATATTAATTTTTGGAGTTATCCTTCCTGGTTGAGGATCGGATATCCTTAAAGGTTACAAAAATAAGTCTATTTTTTGTGACTGTAAAGTTTTTTTTTTTTTTTTTTTTTTTTTTTGGAAAAGTGTAATCCACTTTTAATTTTCAACACGGCAGATACTTAAAGCAAGTGAGTGTAGATTTAAACATACATATTGAGGAGGGAAAAGTAAAAATGAGTTGTGCATTTCCCCTTTTTTATTAAGTGAAAATATTCTAAAAGCCATGCCTTTTTTGTAGTACGTTCTATAATGATTGTGATGAACACAAAGCCTCTCACCTTTGCTAAATAATATCAGTACATTTCTCTTTTAAAGCCTGTTTATCGGGAACCTTTGGTGCAAACTGTACCAGTCAGTGTGGGCACTGTGCCGGGTACTGTGACAGTAGATATGGCAATTGTTCTGGAGGGTGTACAGAGGGGTATAATGGGATATTGTGCAATGAAGGTATGTTCAATTCTCTGTATTAGAGTTTTGTTTGCTAGTATGTGTCATTCTGTCCCTTTCATAATTTAACTTCCTTGGTTATAATTCTAAAATCTTAAAACATAATATTTTAAAACACTTTACCTGTAATTTATAATCTTAATTGGTATGTTGGAGGAAAATTCAAATCAAGCCATAAAATATGTGAGGGCTTTTATATTAATGGATTTTATTTCAAGGATGTTAGTCTAGGCATCAAGGAATTTTTTTCAAAGACCGTAATTGCTAATATGCGTCATATGATAAGTTCTATAGAAGATTTTTTTTATTTTGAAAATACTTTACCTTCCGATTTTTTTTCCCTGCAGGTCGTTTTATTTAATATTTTTTTTCGATTAATCCAGATTTTCCAATATTTAT